CGCAATGTGATGGCGCGTATTGTGAAAACCGCTCACGGCCGCCGGGGCCGGCTCCCCTGCCCCGATGGATGCCGCCAGGGTATCGTACGCCTTTTCCAGCGCGGCCCGTATTTTCTTTTTATCGCTTTCCGTGGCAGGCGGCGCCCACTCCATTTCGTTGCCCCGGATAAAATTCTCGCTCCACCAGTGGATGCCGTAGGCAATGTGATGCATTAATTCCCCAAAATTCCACACTCCGTCCACAGGTTTAAAGCCATATTGACCGGCCGGCATGGCGTCCGCAACCTCCAGCGTGTATTTCCGGGAAGTTTCCAGCGTTGATAACAATTGTGATTTCATAAAAACTGTCGTATTTGTTGACAGCATAAAATTACCCGTCCGCGCCCGCAGGTTACTAAGGAATCTTGCGCATTTGGGAACGCCTTACAGTGGTGACACCAGGGCGATTGAAAGATGCAGACAGGCTAACGGAAAGCTTTTGGGACCGGCTCTGGTTTATTCAACCGCAACCGCTGCGGCCAGCTACCCTGCTGCCGCACGGTATGAACAGTGCAAAGGCAGCTCCGCATTACCCTGGGGCAACTCAACCCCTACCAACCCTGCCGTTGCGGCCAGCTACTCTGCTGCCGCACGGGTATTAACAGTGCAAAAGCAGCTCCGCATTACCCTGGGCCTACTCTACCGCCAGCAGCGCCGCCGGTTTAGCATGCCGGTAATCGGTCGGCGAGCAGCGGTACCGCTGGCGGAAGGCGGCCGCAAAGTGCTCCACGCTGTTGAAGCCGGAAGAAAACCCCACGTCCGCCACCGGCTGCGGCGTATTCCGCAGCAGAATGGCCGCGTTTTTCAGGCGGGTGGCCATGAGAAACTGGTGGGGCGGGCAGCCGGTGAACAGCTTAAAGATGCGGCTGAAATGGAAAGGGCTCACATGGCAATGCGCAGCCACATCCTGCAACGAAATGTCCTGTACAAAATGGTCGCTGATAAAAGCTTTCGCCCGCTCTACCGTTTGCAGGTGGTTTTTCTTTACCTGCGGGCCGAGTTTCGTGTTGGGGCGGCACAGGGTGATGTTGGCCAGCACGGCATGCACCATTTCCACCACCAGCTGGTCTACCTGCAGCTTGTTGCGCTGCCGCGCCTGCAGCAGCTGCAAAACATGAAAGTGCGTGTATTCCAGCTCCGGGCCGGCGAGCAACAGGGTGCTGTGCAGGTCATTGTCGCGGAAAAAGCGCGTGCGCCCGTAAATGTGTTGTATTTCGGCATACGCTGCTGGGGTAAAATCGAAGATGGTGCATTCGTCCGGCACGGCGTGCACATGGGTCACCGTTCTGTCGTACCCCGGTTTGGTGATGAGTATGCAACCGTTGTAAGAGTCGAGCGAGCGGCGGAATACGTTGAACAGGAAGTTGCCCGTTCTCACGAAGCTGATGGAAAAGGTGGCGGACTGCTCCGGCCGCGAAGTATTGCACTCCCGGCAGCGGCATTTGAAGTCCAGCACCCGGTACAGGCCGGAGTCGAACAGCGTATGGATATCGGCTTCCATCATCATTTTAAAATTACGCTTTTTTACCGGGCCTGCATTCGAGCACGCTGCCTTTCAGGTGACCGAGCTTTTCGAAGGCGGCCGTTTCTTCAAACCCGGCATCGAGCCAAAGCTGTTTTCCCTGCGGGTTGGCGTATAGCACTTTCAGCGGGCGCGGGCGGCGGTAAAGCGATGCGCCTACCCTTTCCACGAACAGCTCCATCATATTATCGTCAAACGGGTTGAACAGGAAGATGACGCCCACTGAATCCGGCACGTCGTAGTCCCGCACGTTAAGGCACAATACCTCCAGTGCAATGCCGCTGTACCGCTGCACCAGCAGGGTTTGCAACTGCGCCGCGGCGGCGCAGAGCTTCGGGGAAAAATCGATGCCGGTAATATGCCGGAAGCCATATGCCGCGGCAATGGCCAGCACCCGCCCTTTGCCGCAGCCCACATCGAGAAAGTGGGTTTGCAGGTCGGCCGGCTGTAACTGGTCGAAGAGCATGCCGGCGGAATAATAGTTGACCGGCTCGTACCAGGTGGCGTGCGGCCGGTCCGCCGGGGCAATGGCATCGCGGAGGCCGTAGGTGCCGGTAGTGCGGATGCCGTACCGGCGCTCGCCCGCGCGCTCGTGCCTGATCACGAACCAGGCGAGCTCAAAATTCCAGTGCCAGCCGATATACAGGAAATAGAAAAAATACCGCATGTATCCGGGGTTTGCCGTAACCGAATATAACAAATTCCGGGCTGCCGCTTTCAGCCGTAGCGGGCATTATATTTGTGGTTTTCAGCGCAAACCACCGATTATGGAAAGCATCAGGCGCACGGTGGCCACGGGCATTCCCGCCCGGCAGGCCTACGCTAAATTCGTGCACGAACTGGACAACTGGTGGCCCCGGCAATATACCTGGGCGCAAAACACGCTGCAACAGATCAGCATCGACGGCTGCCGCGGCGGCTTCTGCCACGAAACGGGGCCGTACGGCTTCCGTTGCGACTGGGGCCGGGTACTTGACCTGCAGGCGGGCGAGTTCATCGTATTCAGCTGGCAGATCAGCCCCAGCCGCGTGCCCGAGCCTGACCCCGCCAGGGCCAGCGAGGTAAGCGTGCGCTTCCTCCCCGATACCGTTGAATTCGAGCACCGCTTTTTTGAGCGGCATGGCGAAGGCGGCGCCGGGTACCGGCAAATGATGGCTTCGAAAGAAGGATGGGATTATATTCTACAGTGTTTTACCGCATACTGTAAGGAATGAACTGTTCTTTCAGCCGGTCTGAAACGGCCCTTTCCAGCCCTTCGGGAATGAGGCCCGCCCCGTCTCCCAGCGCTGCAAAACGCAGCAGCTCTTCATCCCACGCAAAAATATATTCGTCGTTATTGTAGTTCACCCTGAAACGTGCCTCCTGGTTAAAAACAAACGGGGCTGCATGAATGATGTAAGGCACGCCGTCTACAACGAGGTGCAGTGTTGTTGTTGCCATAACCGACGGTTTTTAGCCAACCAGGGTACAAAAATCAAGCCTCCGGAAAAGTTTCTTTTTGCGGGATTAATTTATATTTTGTGCCCGCCTACAGTAAACATTCTTTTTTCAACCAAACAGCACGTATCGATACGCATGCTGAACAGTACCATCAACCCTCCACACTCATGAAGATGAACAAATTCCTCAGGATGCTCTTTCCGGCCATCCTTGCGGGCACTGCTGCAATGGCCGCTCCTGCGGCAGACACCGGTTTCAGCATTATTCCCGCTCCCCTCCACATCCAAAGCGGCAAAGGCAGTTTTATGCTCACCCCGCAAACGCGCATCCTGACAGAGAGCGGCAATGCCGCACTGCAGCAGGTGGCCAAAGAACTGGCTGCCGGCATCCGCCGGCAAAGCGGCCTGTCCCTTACGGTAGGCGCGCTGGGTAAAATGGCGCCGGCGAACGCCATCGTACTGCGCCTGCAGGCGGATACGCTGGGCAACGAAGGGTACCGCCTTTCGGTCAAACCCGGCCTGGTCACCGCCACCGCCTCGCAACCGGCGGGCGTATTTTATGCCGCGCAAACCATTTTGCAGCTGCTGCCCACCGGCGTTGCCAAAACCCCGGCCCTGCCGGCGGCAGAGATCGCGGACAAACCGCGCTTCGGCTGGCGCGGCCTCATGCTCGACGTGGGGCGTTATTACTTCCCGGTCGACTATCTCAAAAAGTACATCGACTACATGGCGCTGCACAAACTCAACACCTTTCACTGGCACCTGACGGAAGACCATGGCTGGCGGATCGAGATCAAGAAGTATCCCCGCCTCACCACCGTGGGCGCGTGGCGCAACGGCACACAGTTCACCAACAACCGCGTCAACAACCACCCTCACGGCGGCTACTACACGCAGGAAGAAATAAAGGAAGTGGTGGCCTACGCCCAATCGAAATTCATTACCGTAGTGCCTGAAATAGAAATGCCCGGCCACAGCCTTGCGGCGCTGGCGGCGTACCCCGAACTGTCGTGCTCCGGCGGGCCGTTCAAAATGCCGGTGAACTGGGGTATTCAGAAAGACGTGTACTGCGCGGGCAACGATAAAACGTTCACATTCCTCGAAGATGTGCTTACCGAAGTGGCCGCGCTGTTCCCCGGGGAAATCATCCACATCGGGGGCGACGAATGCCCGAAAGACCGCTGGAAGGCCTGCCCCAAATGCCAGCAACGCATCAAGGCGAATAACCTGAAAGACGAGCACGAACTGCAGAGCTACTTCATTACCCGCATCGAGAAGTTTCTGCAAACGAAAGGCAAACGCATTATCGGGTGGGACGAGATACTGGAAGGCGGCCTGGCGCCCAATGCGGCGGTGATGTCGTGGCGCGGCACCGAAGGCGGCATACAGGCGGCGCGGCTGCTGCACCCGGTGGTGATGACGCCCAACCAGTTCATGTACTTCGATTATTACCAGGGCGAAACCTACCTCGAGCCCTATTGCATCGGCGGGTTTCTGCCGCTGCGCAAAGTGTATGAATACGAACCGGTACCGGCAGAGCTGACCGCGGCCGAGGCCAAATACATCGTAGGGGTGCAGGGGAACGTGTGGGGCGAATACATCCACAGTCCTGAAAAATCAGATTACATGACCTTTCCGCGCGCCGCCGCCATGGCCGAAACCGGGTGGAGCAGCGCCGGCAATAAGAACTGGGACGATTTTGCCCGCCGTATGGAAAGCCAGTACCGCCGCTACGAAAAGGCCGGCATCGGATATGCCGCCAGCGCGTACAACGTGATGTTTAAAGTGCAGGCAGATTCAGCACGCAATAAAGCCGTGGTAACGCTTACCACCGACAGTTACCGCCCGGTTATCCGGTACACGACCAACAGCAGCGAGCCCACGGCTGCTTCTCCGAGGTATCAGCAGCCCATTGAAGTAACCATGCCCGTGAATATCAAAGCAGCGGTGTTTGAAGGCAACCGCGTGCGCGGTAAGGTGAGTGGAACGGCCGTGCTCCGCAGCAATGCGAGATAATGGAATGAGTGGCGGCGTAATAGCAACCGCACGGTATAATCGAATACCGCTTTTTATAAAAAAAGCCGCTCCCTCACCGGGGCGGCTTTTTTATGCCTATCAGAACAACCGCAGCTGCACGCCTTTAGACCGTTTCGGCGGCTGCGCCTTTCCAAATACGGTGCGCCCACCGTATTGCCACGATTGGTCACGCTCGTGCTGCACGAGGTCTTCGAATCGGTCGTTCGGCACAAAATCTTTCTCCGCTTTCAGGGCGAGGGTATGCAATGAACGGATGGCGTCCTGTTTTTCGGTGTGGCCTATTTTAGCCTTGTATACGGCCGTTTGCAGGGTACTGATGGTTTCGTCGTACACCTTCAGCGGCACGGGGAAAGGATGCCCGTCTTTCCCGCCGTGGGCGAATGCGAAACGGGCGGGGTCTTTAAAACGCGAAGGCGTGCCGTAGATCACCTCGCTCACCAGCGCCAGCGACTGCAGCGTGCGCGGCCCGAGGCCTGGCAATAACAGCAGGTCTTCGAACCCGGCGGGCTGCTGCTCCTGCGCCAGCCATAAAACGGTGCCGAGGCGCTTCAGGTCCACATCTTCCGCCCGTACGTCGTGATGATGGGGCATTACCAGCTGCTGCACCTCCTGCATCATCAGCTCCGGTTTTTCCTGCGTCAGCTGCAGAATGCCACCGCGTGCCGGGGCGGCTTCCCGGGCGGTCAGGTTCAGGATGCTGCCCACGTTGGGGCCGCATACCGCCGCATGCGGCTCTTCCACGAACGATTGTACCTGCGCTGAATGCCAGTGGTAACACCGCGCCGTTTTATTGCCGGCGCTCATGCCCTGCTGTATCACGGCCCAGTCGCCTTTGGCGCTCACGATGAAATTATGGGTGTAGAGCTGAAAACCGTCCTGCACCGCGGTATTGTCTACTTTGGCGCTCAGCTTGCTGCAGCGCACGAGGTAATTGCCGTCGAGCCCGGTGGCGTCCGCAATCCGGATCAGCTCCGCCGGGGCTTCCTTTGAAAACCGGCCTTTGCCGCCGCATATATAAATACCGAGGTCTTTCGCATGGGGGTTGATGGCTTTTTTAAGCGCCCCCATCACCGAGGTGGTGATGCCGGAGGAGTGCCAGTCCATCCCCATTACGGCGCCCAGGCTCTGGAACCAGAAGGGGCTGCTCATGCGGCTGAGAAAGGCTTCCGCCCCGTATTCGGCCAGTACCGACTCCGTAATGGCAAGCCCCAGCCGGGCCATTCTCTCCGCCAGCCAGCGGGGCACATAACCATAATGTAAAGGCAGGTCTGCAGATCCGGAACGCTTCATACTAACAAATTTAGCATTTTTGCAACATAGCAGTCCGGCCGATCCGAAAAAACACCGGTTTGCGGTCTAAAAACGATCCACAGCATTCGCCCGCGGTAAAAAAGCCCGGGAGCTTACAGCGTAAAGCCGGCATATAGCGGTTCTTTGCCCAGGCTGATAGTATGTAAAGTAAAAGCCCGGGAGCCATACCCAGACGCCAAAACATAAAGCCGGCATGCCACGGCTCCTTGCCTGACCCGGCAGCATGCAAACAACAACAGTACCCTTACCAAATCGGCTACAGCAAAGAGTTTCCGGCCACGCACGTTATTACGCCCCGCAATCGCCGTCACCACCGGGCATGACGGCCGTCACCGTTTTCAGGCCGGCCTGCACGTTCGTGTGACAACCACACTCATCACCGCGGTTGACTGCCGTCCTTTTCCGGGGCCCCTGCCCGGCATACCTTTGTTACAGATTGATGCACGAAGAAAGAAAGATGAACCCGTCCCCACGGACCCCGCAGATCGCCAGATTATTCACCCGATTTTTTATCACCGGCCCTTGAAGCCCGCCATACGGGCAAAAGGATCGCCATTTCCTGAAACTTTCTGTTATGAAACTCCTTGCGATCTGCACCAGTGCGGCGGTGGCGATGTATGCCCTTTCCGGCTGCTCAAAAGAACCATTGACCATTATGGCGCCGCCCCCTGCAGTGGCCCTGGCGGTAACGACGGACTCCGTGTTCGTATTTGAAAACAACGTAGATAAAAACCTGCTGCTTGAGCTGATCAATAATGTACGTGCGAAGGGATGCAATTGCGGCGCCACTTATATGCCGCCCGTTCCGCCGGTGACCTGGAACGAAAAACTGGAAAAAGCATCGTGGTTGCACAGTAAAGAAATGAGCGACAGCAACTACATGAGCCACACCGGCAAAAACGGCGGCAACGGCGGCGACCGCATCAAAAAGATGGGGTATAACTGGAAGGTTTACAGGGAGAATCTCGCACTCGGGGTGCTGACCGAAAAAACTGTGATAGAGGGTTGGATGCGCAGTGAAACGCACTGCCTGTCGATGATGGACGCGAATGTGAAAGAGACCGCGGTAGCGAAATTCTCCCACTTCTGGACGCAGGAGCTGGCCGTAAAAAAGTAAACAATTATTGACCTGTGAAAAACCTACAACTGACACCCGATCATTCACTAAAAACGAGCGCCTATGAAAAACAGCAGCGTGTTATGATCACGCGTGAAATTTTATCCAGATCTGAAAAACCGTTTCCCTGAAACAAAAATCGTTCATTAAAATCCCTGCCTATGAAATAAATGTTTGTAAAACGGGCGCACCGGCGCATTTTATCAACCAACCGAATCCGTTCTCTATACTTGTACCAACGCACCTATACCTATGATCCCTATGCCTTTTTGCTTTCGAGTAAGTCCTGAAATACAACACAGCCGGTGCGTCCCGTTTTCATCTTTTGCTTTTCAAAAACTATTGACCGAATTCATCTACATCATCCCTTCGTACTGAACAATTTAAAACCGTTACCAACATGTCGCAAACTACCATATCACGTTTCTTCAGCCGTTTCCGTAACGTGCTTTTCCCCGGGCCGGGGCAACCGGCGGGGCACCGTCGGCCGCCGGTGTACCATGTAACCACGCACCGCGTGGCAGGGTATTTTCCCGAAACCGGCCGTCAGCTGGTATTCGTGCAATCGCGCTATACCCGCCGGCGCCCGGAGTGACCGAAAGATATTGTATATGCATACCGTCGGGCAATACGTCCCGTGTTGTGTAAACCCGGCCCCGGCCGGTAGCAGCACGGGATTTTTCTGTTATTACCCGTGGCCGGTCCAAAAAAGGTACCTCGTTCAACCTGCTTCCTATTGCCCCATTTCCCCTGAACGCGTGCTCCCCGCCAGCCCTTCATCCGCTCCGTTTAACGAATTTGCCCGGGCTGACGCCGAACTGCTTCCTGAATTCGTTACTGAAATGCTGCAGGGTAGAATACCCTGTTTCGTATGCGGCTTCGGTAACCGTTACCCCGCCACCGAGCAAAAGCCGGCGCGCCAGGGCCAGCCGGTGCGCTTTCAGGTACCCGAACACCGTAAAGCCGAACACTTCCCGGAAACCTGTTTTCAGTTTGTATTCATTGATGCCCGCCAGCTTCGCCAGCTGCCGTAAAGACGGCGGGTGCTGAATGTCGCGCAACAGCGCTTCCCTTGCGGCGTAGATCCTTTCCATGTCTGCCGCGCGCAATGGAGCGGGCTTCCCCGCCAGCTCCGCCTGCCGGCACCGGAGCGCCTGCAGTTCAAGCGCCCTGGCTTGCAGCAACAGCTGCTGCCAGCCGCCGGTGTACAATATTTCCTTCACTCCGGGGCTATCGGTCATTTCCATAAAAAACTCCGTTTTACGCAACATAAATTCCATTTTCTGCAACATGCCGCCGCCGGTTTGTCGTCTCTTTGCCAAACGTAAGCAGCATTTAAACTATAACGGCATCCGGCGGCCGGGCCCCTACCCGCTTCCCGGATTTGCATTTTATTTAACAGGCGAACCATGCTTTATTTTATTCTCTACAAACTGCTCCGCTACCGCTACGCCGTAGTGTTGCAGAACCTCTCCCGCTCTTTCCCCGAGCGGTCGTATGCAGATATCAGGGAGATAACCGCCGGCTTTTACCGCCACTTTTGCGGCATATTCGTTGAAATGGGCATGATGTTCTTTTTTTCGGAACGGCGGCTGAAACGGAAGATACAGGTCCGCAATCCTGACCTGCTGGCGCATTATCACGCGCAGGGGAAAAATGTGGTGATTATGCTGGGGCATTTCGGTAACTGGGAGTGCCTGAACATGCTGCCGAAGTATTTCGATTTTCCGGTGTATGCGGTGTACAAACCGCTGTCGAACGCATTCTTCAACCATATGATGCAAAGGCTGCGCTCCCGCTTCGGGCTGCGCCTGCTACCCATGCACAAAACAGGCCGGCACATGCTTTCGCACCGCACGCAACCGGGGGCGTATATTTTCGTGGCCGACCAGTTTCCGCCCAAAGACGGGCATACCGTCAGCTTTCTCCATCAGCCCACCCGCGTTATCACCGGTGCGGAGCGGCTGGCGAAAACAACGGGCGCCGTGGTGGTGTACGCCTCGGTTAAAAAAACGGCGGATGCCGCAGGGTGGGAAATTTCCTTCCGGCTCATTGCAGATACGCCGGCGGCGGCCGGCCCCTATGCCATCACGGAGAAATTCACGGCGCTGCTGGAAGAAGACATCCGCGAAACGCCGCAGCACTGGCTCTGGTCGCACCGCCGCTGGAAGCAGCCATAGTTACCGTGCTTCCAGCTGCTTCAACGGAATTTTGGCCAGGTAAACCGACGTTTTGCCTTCGTGCGAGGAGTAATAGGTCGTCCACAACCGCCCCCTGTACACCAGCATGCCGGGGTAACTGTTGTCGCCGGCGCTGGGCAGGTCAATGGTTTTACGCACTTTGCCTTCGAGGTCGGTCACATACAGCACCGTGCTTACTTTGGGTTTGTATTGGCGGGTGCCGATCACCAGCGTTTCATTGTCGAGGAACAGGAAGTTGGGGCCGCCCAGCCGACGGTCCATTTTAGAGAAGCGCCATTGTTTGTAGGGCGCATCCGCAGTAGCAATTACGCCCGCCTGGTCCGCACTCTCCCGGCGGATCACCACGTACATGCGGTCGTTTTCGCCGAACCGGATGGTGCATTCGTTAGGGTTGCCGTCCAGCTCCAGGCGCGACACATTCGCGAAATGGCTGCCGTCTTTCGTGCTGACGAGGTACACCTTGTCCATCTGGTACAAAATAGCATACCCGGTGCCCTTATGCCAGGTGAGGCGCCACACCCAATCCGACCAGGAGGCGATCGACGGGTCTACCATAGATTCCTTCGGGGTGCTGAACGTAACGCCCTCCGCGTCTGACAGCGATACCAGCGGTTTGCGGCTGATCACTTTTTTACCGTCGTGCGCCTCCACATCCATCAGCACCATGATGCGATGATCGGGCGTAACGGACAGCTTGGGGTCGCGTACGTCCCGGTCTTTCACTTCCAGCAGTGCCACGCTCTCCCACTTTTTGCCGTCTTTCGAACGGAGAATGCGCGCTTTACCGTCAGGGCCGGATACATGCCCGCTCCCTTCACGGAAAGTGCAATAAAAGGCATTGTTAAACCGGAGCAGGTCGGTGAATGCGTTGTGCGGCGCCTGGTCCCATATTTTTTCGACCTCCGGGGCGCCGCCAGCGGCGGCTGTTTCTTTTTGAGCGGCGCAGCCCTGCAGGGTAAGGGCTGCTGCGAAAAGGAAGGATAGATATTTCATGTTGACGTGGATTGCAGGGGATAAAGATATTCTTAAAGTCTTGTTTTTTCAATCCCCTGCCTGCACAACCTGCCGCATAAAAAAGCGCACGGCCCTATTTAGCCGCGCGCTTTTTATTTCAGCAGTGATTGTCAATAGCCGGGGTTCTGCACCAGGTAACCGGGCAGGTTGCTGGAACCGTCTATCTGCGTTTGTGGAATGGGGAATATCCGTTTTTGTTTATCAGTATTGGTTTTCTCCGTCCATGTGCCTTCGTATTTGCCGAAACGCACCATGTCCGTACGGCGCTGCGATTCCCAGTACAGTTCGAACCCGCGCTCACGCAACAGCAGGTCGAGCGTGATGGCGGCCAGCGGCGCCGCGGGTGTGCCGGCGGTACGCGCGGCCCTGATGGCATTTACGTCGGCGAGGGCGGTGGCGGCATCTCCCCTTCTCAGTTTGGCTTCCGCGCGCATGAGGTATACATCTGCCAGGCGGACGATCACGATGTCATGCTCGCCGAAGTTCCTGCCGCTCACGGACGTTTTGCTGAACTCGTATTTAGACACGCGGTAACCGGAGTTATAGTTGCTGCCGGCGGTGGAAAAGTCCACCTGCTCCGTAAAATTCACCGCCAGTTCCGGGCGGGGGGGGGGGGGTACTTGTCCCCCCCTCGCTCTCCCCCCCCCCTCTAGCCCGCCGATGCCTCTTTTCTATCGTTCCATGTTTTCTCTCTCTCTCCCTTCCTTTCTACTGTATTAACTTGTGTTGAATGTGTAATATTTGCATTTACATGTATAAACAAATAAATATCATGCTGTAAGATACACAAAAAATTGTGTTTTTTCATTTGCCAATAGCGAATCAAGAATGAACTAGCTTAACTAACATCATTACTGTTTAAGACAATACAGCTAAATACATATAATTATACTATGGTGTTCAGTTCATTTCTTTTCTTGTTATTCGATCATACTTATTTTAAAATCCGTCATAAAATGCACCTCGTTGGACGAACACTAGCCATTTTCTTCCCGAGGAAGCACCGAGAAGGGTAGCATGAATTTCGCCGTACAGTTAAAACGTTAGTGAAAAAGATATTTACTCAATTCAGACAGAGTTCTCGCCCTCACCTAGTGCCGTGTCTGCGCACTAAACGTGTTGATGAGTGTAGGAGCTATTTTTAAGGAAAATAAATGGTTGTGAAAGTCCATGGCGAAAGTCACGACGGCGAAATTCGCGTTTCCCTACCGAGAACAAAGTGCTGACACCATCTTGTTGTCATCTTCATTTCAAAAGATCTCTAAATGTATGTATTCCTATATTTCAGATGTTTCTATTTTTTTAGCTGATCATTGACAATTTATGGGCATGTCAACGTATAAACTGAAAAAATTTCGTTTGGTTCTGTTAATAATATTGTCTATAATTTTCACACAACTTCTTTTTATCGTACTACAGAAGAAAAAATATGATTTTCCTTTTTTACCGACAGATAGCGCGCACAAAGAATCTCCTCTTCATCCTCTCTCGATATGTATGTTGTTACCAGTTTCAAGCCGTGGTGTCAATCAAATGAAACTCGATGGTCTTCGCCTTTCCGATCTTCCTTTAGTTCATACATTTATACCATCTGTTCTCAATACTATAGAAATTCAGTATAATTATCACTTATATATTGGTTATGATCGTGATGATCCGTGGTATGATAATGAAAAAAATTTGAGTGATCTAATTAATTTTATCCGTAGTTACATAAAAAATACTAGTTCATCCGATTTTCGCGTATACATCAAAACAAATGTACTGTATGGGATCGATCAGAGAATTACTGCTATTTGGAATATATTAGCAGCTATTGCCTACAAGGATGATTGCGATTACTTTTATCCAGCAAATGATGATCTACAATTACGAACGAAAGGATGGACAAGCGCAGCAATTCAATTACTGCAAAGCTGTGGTGTTGCTAGCAATTTTGGTATTGTCGCTTTTCGTGATATTAGTGCATGTGAATATCCGACGTTTCATCTTACACATAGAAAACATTTAGACTTACATGATGGAATATATTATCCGTTACCATCGCATGGTGCTCATCAAGATACTTGGATCTTTAGTTTGTATCGTGCTTGGAATTGTTCCTTTTTTTTGCCACAATATCAGTTGAAAAATCATGTTGGCCTTTCTGTCAAAACACGTTATGATTATGGTGACGATAGTAAGATTACTTTGTGGGTTCGACGTTCTCGAAAGTATTTATATAATCGTCTAATGAATTTTTCAACAACGGATTATAATCAATCTTCAATTGATCTTTCTCATATTAACTCTCATATTGAATTAAAAGTACCTTGTTCAATTGAAGACAAAGAGAAAATCGATGCTTCTTTATTAGCTGATGCAAACAAATGAATTAACTCTTCGTAATTGTTGTGGAATCCGCGTCGATCCATTTCACCGATTTTAATTGAAAAGTACATTAAGAGCTGCTGTGTTCGACCAATCCCTTCGTCTTAAGGATCCCATCAGAACGTTAAATTTAATGTATGTCTTTTTCCTACGATCAAAACTACATTTACTGCTTATAATCTGTTTAAAAATGCTTCTTTTCACCTAAATGTAAGAAAGTTTATATACATAAGTTTTTGAATCTTTTATATTTTTATACTACAGAATACTAATTTTCTTATAAAAAAACATCTAATTAAAATAAAATCCGTGTTATTAAATGTTCTTATCGTCATGAGTGTCATAATGTGTCCGTATATCTTCTTTCTTTTATTTGAGATGTTGTTTTACTTCTATTTTTGTTTATAAGAAAGAAATGCTCTTCTTAATTTCCGTCGGCGTGACATTTTAGTTTAATTAGAAGTTCAAAGTTATTCAAATGGAAATAGTGATTATAACTGAGCTCTATTAATTCTACAACAAAGAATATGAGAAAAAATCTTACCGTACGTTAGAACCTCAGCACTCTTAGATGGACTCTTTTTTCATGAAAAACTAAGGACGGGGCGTGTAATAGCCTGTTTTCTCTCTTTCATTTTTTCAATATAACCCAGTCCGTATGCTCGATAGAATAAAAGGTTGAAGTATTCTGATCATTTTCATGCTAAATTTGAAGTAAAGCCATGGGCATATTAAAAGATCCGGGTCTTCTATTATGTCCCTTAAAAAGTCATGTTTTTATATATACATAGACTGAATTTCGTGAATATTACTTATTATCATACTGTTTTATTACACAAGATATTTCTCATCTAACTGCATTAATGTGTAATGACAAAACCAGCGTTATGGAATTTCGTCTCTTTTCGATGTTCTATAGGAGAGGGTTTTGGTCTCTTAAATTCCAAAATATCATAACAGTTAGCTTTATCATTTTCAATGCATATATAGTACTATGATAGCTCTACAACTCAGGAGTGTTAATTCTTATTGTGAAAGACGATCCGAAGGAGAGTGTTTAAGGGCAAAAATTTCAACCACCCCCCCCCCCCCCCCCCCCCCCCCCCCGCCCCCGCGGTCCCAACCCCCCCCCCCCCCCCCCCCCCCCCCCCCCGACCAACACGGCCAGCCGCCCGCGA